ATATGAAACAAATAAAATAAAATACATACAAAGCAGAACACAGCTAAATGTTTCAAAAGTATGTCTATGATGTTAGAATTTTCTGAGACAATGAATTTTGGTTTTTCATTTTTTTTTTTCCAGTAAGAGGTTTCAATTTAATAGAATTTTTGGACAAAAAAATCGCAATATATCACAATATATCGGCTTGCTTACAGTATTGCAACATATCGGGATATATCGTATCGTGACCCCTCTGTCATGATATGTATCGTATCGCCAAATTCTTGCCAATACACAGCCCTAACGATCACAGGATTAGCCCCGATGCAGACGTCTGAATACCTCTTCGTGGAAAGCCACGCAGCTGACAGAGCCGAGCCGCCCAATGAGGTCGGCGACTACCTCCTCCGGCTTCCCCGTCCTCACCACCAGATYGCTGCCACACAAATAAACATGTGCATGAGTTCGCGTAATGCCAGGCATCCTGGGTAGAGGGATAGCTGGMTGGAAAAATAAGTCCCGGGAACAATGTGCGCAGCGGTGATGTGAATGTTAACACAACCCCCTGCAGGTCCAGGTGTGTCCTGATCCTGTTAGAAAGCTGAGCACACGGGTCTGAGCTCCGAGTATGGAACATAATTTACTCTTTTGTAGTTTGATAAGATTATGGAATTATAGAGAAACTTTACAGTGTAAATAAATTATTTTAAACAGATKTCCTTTACCTGCCCTTGTTGCGTAGCGTGTTTCTGAGATCTTTGATGCTCTCCAGCAGGAAGCGCAGGCGAAAAGGCCCGGTTTTTGGGAAGTTAAAGTTGTAAGTTCCCACATAGTGTTTTGGGTCGAAGCAGTAYAGAGGAACAATGTGCTCAGCGTTTGTTTGAGCCCAGTGGAAGACCTGAACATCACGAAAAGAAAAAAATGGCAGMAAACAACATATTTTATTACAAAATTAAAAACAGCATCCGTACTATGGTTGTGTCTTATCTTAGTATGAAAACACTAAATTTTAAAATGAATACAGTAATAGTTTTCTAAATAACTTACTTTGCTTAATTTATTTGGTTTAAATATTTTGTATTTACTTCCCTTCACTTCAACCTTTGAGACTCTGAGACGTTCATCTAATTTTTAAATATTTCAATGTTTGCTTTTTCTAATCATCTCAAGTTTTATTTCTTTATTGTACGTCGTGTGGCTGCAGTTGAGCCTTTCCCATAGTTTTATTTATCGTTTTGTTCAGCACTTTTTTCCTTTGTAGTTTTAAAGTGCTATTTAAATAAAGTTAGAAAAAAACATTTTAAACTTGACAAAATTCAGAGTGTTTTACTTTGAAGAAGAGGCTTTTATTCTGTACAACACACGCCGGAAACAAACCTTCTCTCTCATAACGTCAACCGGAAGTAAACATTAGTCGAGGTAACAACTTGTAACTTGACACCMTTTAAAACCGTATTAGTCTTTATATGGATATATTCTCCGGCAAAGAAATTTCCAAAGTTTATAACTCAAAGTAAAGTAAAAAATACTTTCAAAAAGTCAACTTGTTAAGTATTTGAGCGCCAACTTAAAAACAAACCCYGGTTTTATCTCGGTAGCATAACATGATTCGGTCGGACTCTCTTACCTCATTGTCGTGGACACGCAGGTCGTTTCGCAGTAAACATATTATTGTGCGGTAMGTTGACATAATTTCCTAACTTATCAGGATTTCAGAAAGTCCAAAACCTCCTGTCTGTGTTAGAAAGCTGCTCCTTCAGC